GTTTGCGTGTACCGTGGCGATCTTTCGTTTTATTTGTATCTTAAAATTTACTTCGGAGACCTTTTCTACGACGCGATACGGGCCCACCCAGGGTGCCTCCAATTTTTTGGAACGTCCACGTCTCAATGTCTCGTCGTGTAATAGTACAAGGTCGCCTACTTTAAACGTGCGAATTTTGACTGTCTGGTCGGCATAGTTCTTAGCCTTCGTTTTAGCTTTGTCGACAGATTGCTTCGCGACTTGATGTGTTGCCCGTAGTCGTTCTCTAAGCTCGTGTGCGTAATCTTCGTATGAGTAACGCGGCTTCGGAGGTAGCGTCAGGGCTGTGGGTAGCGTCGCTTGGTGCCCGTATATCAGCTCGAACGGCGTATACGAGGTTGCTGTATGCGGTGTCGTGTTATAAGTAAACATCGCATACGGGATCCACTCATCCCAGTTAGTCTGGTCCTCATTTATGTAATGGCGTAAGTATTCCGCGAGAGTTCTATGCGATCGCTCCAATGCGCCATTACTCTCGGGATGATAGGCAGTGGTCTGGATCTTCTTAATTTTTAATAACTTGCAAACGTTCTTAAATATTTCGCTCAGAAAATTTGTTCCTTGATCCGTTAAAATAATTTCTGGTATGCCGAACTCACAAATTATTTTAATAGCGAATTCTTTGGCTATCGTAGCTGCCTCCTGATTTGGGATCGGGATGGCTTTGCTAAATTTGGTTAGATCATCTTGAAATGTAAGCAAGTATTTATTTCCAGCCTCTGTTATACTGAGTGGTCCCACTATGTCTAATGCACATTTTTCGAAAGGCTTAGATGCCGTGTCTGTAATAATTAATGGCATCCTAGTTTTTCTGCTAAGTTTGTTCTTTTGGCAGAATTCACATTGCGTAATATATTCTTCTACGTCCTTGGTTATACCCGGCCAGTTGTGGGTTAACCTGATACGGTTCAATGTACGCGTCACCCCCTGGTGTCCCCCCAGTGGAGCGTCATGATACTCGTG